GGGTGAATGCCCACTTCGTCGGATGCATCCGACGAAGTGGGCATTCACCCATGAAAGCTTATGCTCCAATACATCAGTTAGTCTTAAAGGTGCCACAGGACTCTCTGTTGCTTTTTATTGTCCCTTAAGTGCTTCTTGACTGGGCACTTAATTTGCACATTCCTTTCTCAAGAAGCTGACCAAATGCTTTACAAGGGCTACTTAAAAATCAAGCCAGTGCCCAGCCAATATTCATAACTTTGAACTACAAAAATGATACATGCATACAAATAGGATTAATAGATTCAGTAGATCATAACCTTTATAGAGATATGTTACCTGGCATATGTAGCATAAAACATATTCCAGTTATATTATATATACATTCATAAGCATATTCCCATGAAGCCTTATGGGGTACACCGTCACAACAGTTCTAGGCAAAACCTATCCCAATTGTTGGATGAAATGGTAATCTTCCTGCCAGAGAAACCTTTCAAAAGAGTGTTGATGGTTTAGGCCATAAGTAGCCCTTCCTAGTGGTATTTGCAGCAAACGTTCTGTACATAGATGCACTGTTGTTCAAGCCCCTCTTCTTTTGCCATTTTAATCAGTGCATCTTGTATTGTAAGAGGATTTTGATCTCTTGCAGTTTCATCATTCTTCCTTTGTATTCGTAGTACCCTTTGTTAATCAGATAATTCAATAATCTTCTCTGTGATCCAAGTCTTCTTTAGGATCTGTTTCCCCAGGATTTCATTCATGGTCTCTGTAATGTAGCAGGGAATGTTGTGCTCTATCTGATCTATGCTACCCATGCAGAGGTACACAGCTTCCATCTTTTGTTCAATCATCTTCTCAAATTCAATTACATTTCACAGACTTTCAGTTTGTAGGTGCTACAATGGACTCTGAAGATACTTGCTCATTGTTTCTTGCTTGAACAAGGTATTAATTAATACTAAGTAGTTTTCAGTCACAAGTTGCATAAATCTCAGTTCTCTGTCTTGCCAAAATCCCAAACTCCCCAACACAGTTGCTCTGTTTTAGGTAACTCTTGCGATCAATACATACATTCCAGTCATCTTGTGCAATTAAGGCTTGTCTACATGGGGGATTAAACCAGCCTAAAATGAGTTAAACTGATTTGAAAATGCTAGTGTACGTACAATGCCATTCATTATTATGCACTAACGCCGTATCTATCACAAATTCTGGGATAGTTCAAAGTGAACTATATTTGAATGTGAATTGAGTTAGTTTGGTCACTTGTTCATGTGCATGCAAAACTGCTGCATGCTACTTTGGCAGCCCTCCAACTGCTATCCCACACTGCTTTGTGAGAGAATATTACTGACCTGTTCACCTGTGTGCTCTCCACTGCTCTGATGTCAAGTTGACTGGATGTTCCCTTCCCCATTTAAAAGCTGGTGGGGGCCAGAATTTGCCTATTTGCTCCTGGATTCAAGTATATCAGCATTGCTGTGATAGTTCTCTAGAAGCCGCACAACATGTTTTAAGATGCTGCTTGAAGCTGTGCTGAGACCCTGGATCTCATTGCCCTCTGGGGAGAAGCTTCAGACTACAGTGCAGGAAGCTCTTGTGACTAGCCACTGGAATAAAGATCTTTTTGTGGGCACTGCAAAGCAGATGACTGTGATGGGCCACAACTGCAATGCTGATCAGTGCAGGATAAAGAGCAAAGAGCTCAGGAGGATTTGCATTCAAACCAGGAATGCCTGGAAAAATTCCAGCAGTGGAAATGCAACCTGTATCCTGGAGGAGCTGGACAGGATTTTGATTAATTAAACCATCACTTAACCCAGGAAGCTTGTGGACCCTGCTGCCTGCTCTGTTCTCCCCCCGGCCCTTTGAGGGCGAACAGCAAGACTCAGAGGATGAACATGAGGAGACTGGTGAAGATCTGTCCCAGGAAAGCCAAGGTCTGTTCAGGAATCAGGACCTTGCTGCTGGCCAGGTAGACGACAAGTCTGATTACTGCCATGCAGCAATCGAGCCTGATTCCTAGCCAGAAAGCCAGGCTGGGACTGAGGAGACAAAGCATCTCAAGGGAACCTCAGCATGTATCTATTTTTAACATTTATTTTGCTATACTGCCATGCTAGCTTCTGTTCTGTGTGCCCCTTGGCCTCAGACACCTCAGGTAGATGTGAGCTAAAAGCCTTTCAGAATCTCTAGCTGCTCCCTTGGCCCACGTTGTCCGGACAGCCCCGTGCCACGTGTTTTCAAAATGATGGCTGCTCTGGTTCGGCAATCAGTCTCTGTCTCATGCTGAATACCCAACTAGGGACCATTTTCAAGCCCACACCAAGAAGGGCACATGCCCATCTACCTATTTTCCTTTCCCTTCTTTGCATCTGTCCAGCCCAGCAAGCACCCCGTGATGTAATGTATTTGGCTTTTCTGGCTCCCTACAAGAGGCCCCATGGTCCTACTATACCTCACCCCATGAAGCAGTGATGTGGGAGGAACAGAGAAGTAAAGGTGAAATCCTCTAGGTGGCCTAGAGAGACCTCTTGGAGCAGCCATCTTGGAGACTACAGATACCTGGTCCTCCAAGGACTAGTGACAGCCAATCAGAGCCCAGCAGATTCAGATAAAAGGAGCTTCAGGGCCCTAGCAGGGAAGTTCTGGGCTGGGATCAGAAGAGTGGAGATGGATGCTCCTCTCTGGCCAAAAAAGCCCAACAAACAAGCTGAATTTACAGAGCTAGGATTGCAGAGAGAGAAGCCCCAAAAAGTAGATAGGTTTATTTGAGAACCCAAACAAGGGACTGAATTTAAATGCCCCAGAACCAGGGCTGAAGATGCTAGGAAGGGCAAATAGACTGTTTATTTATTGGACTCTTTAATACCCTGGAATGGGTTCATTCAGATTTTGTGATTTAGCTGGTGGGCCAAGCCATTGATGACCCACCAAGGTTAGATGGCAGCCTGCACGGGGCACCAGGAATAAGAAAAGGACTGCAGTAAGTGAGTGTCCCCTGTACAGCTCCCCAACCCCATTCACCAGCTCAAAATGGCAGCTGGGAGCCTGGACCCCACCCCTCTTCCTGCTGCATATTGAATAATGAAAACATTCATTTGTATGAAATTCAACACTTTATTGAGCCAGTGATTACAGGAAAAGAAGTGGTTAGTAATCTCAGTTTATATGAGGAAGACATGGGCATTACATGTCTGCAAAGACACAAAGAATGAAGCTCCATACAGAGGTATAAATGTCCTGTAACAGAGAATGCTTCAGACAGTCATTTCAGAACCTTATTTTTCTCTGCACTTTCACCATGACTACAGGGGAGATAAAACAGAATCTAAGACTGAGAAATTGCTCAGTTTTGGTCCAGATGTAATGGGGGTGTGAGGGGATGGGGGAGAGCTGTACAGTCATTCCAGCTGGTATAGCTTACTACTCCCTTCCTCTCCTACAGCACTTCAGAGGGGACCATCTTGGTGAAGAACTTCACAATGTATCTGGCTAGTCTACCCTTTGCCTTTATGAATAAGGCCACTCTCTCTGCCTTCTAGTCAACCACCTCAATGGAACATCAACAAAAGTCCAGACATCCTAAAGGGGATGTAGAGGGGATTACTATCCAGCTCAACCCCTGAGGCGTCCTTCTAGCTCCTCTGACACCATATAACCAAAACCGCAAACCCAAACCAGGAACATAATTCCCACCCACCCCCAGCCTCCAATGCATAATGCCAAACCCAAGCAAAAATCTCAATAGAGCCCTCCCCATGCACAAACCACTTACCAGGAGAGAACTAAGTACAAACTTTCCTGCAGCAGAAGGCTGCAAGGGGGCAGACCGACTCCAGAGACCCCACCAGACTGGGGAAGTCTAGACCCTTTAGTTACCGGAGGCCTGAGGGCCTCACAATCCCACTTCTCCACTTCCTTTTGTTTTGTATTTGAACATAACTGAAGCCCTGAGGCAAGCGCTACCAGTGGAACTGAGTATGGCTGACTGTTTGTCCCTGGCTGGTGATCAGGTCCTCCAGCCTAGGGTGCATTTCTAACTTTCCCTCCCTGAGATGCTTTCCACTCCTGTGGAAACCTCAGACATGGTAAGGGCCGTGAGAACAGCTGTACCCCAGAGCCAAGCTCTTTTGAACCCTCTCAAGCCCCATATAACTTTGAGCCTCACCACTCAACACCAGAGAGCACAAGAACAAGAAGAGGCAGAGACAAGGTATATACTCCCCTGTGCCTTGAATCTCACTTCCCCTTGTTGTGTTGGGCCCTCCACTGCATTGTGCCACTTCGAATTTTTGTTTTGTAATTGTTCTAATTAAAGGTTTATTTCTGTTTGCTGTATAATACATTTGTAACCCCTGTTTGTGTTTTTTTCTGGGGAGCCTTGGAATTTCAGGATCTTGGGTTGCTCCTTCCCCAAGCCCTGTTGGTGTTTCCC